GGCGGGGGGGGGGGGGGGGGATGTGTAAATATTAATTAAGTAAATGACTTAACCCCCCTCCAATAAAATTCCATGTTTTAAGTAGACCAACTGTACAATTAAAAACCCTTAGAATCCCACCTTTTAAAATTGATATTTATATCCTCTCCTGTGAAGGGGAAGGCAGATGCATGTAAAACCTGTGCCAAATATTTCACTCCCCCCTTACAGTTTACTAAATGTTTGACACTTTATGAAAAGGAACAGCTGGGTTCTTTTCCTAGAGAAAGGGTAGAGTTTAGGGTGCTGATATTGACATCACCTATAATTTCTTTTTCCAATATTAGTAGGAGGGTGTGAAAAGGAAAAGGGCAGGTGTGAGGTGTCAAATGTCAAGTGGGCTTCCATAGAAGCATTAGCACCGCATGAGGTCCTATAAATGTTTGGAAAGATTAAAGAAATATATGCAGGTAGTTGAGAACCCAGAGCTAAAACGTAAGGCAGTCCTCATTCAATTGTTTTAAATCAACTGAATTGCATATAATTGTATATAATCCATATAAGAACATTGTGAATATCACAATTTTTACCTCAGCCAACTTTTTGGAAAGGAAAGTTGGATATGTTAGGAGAGACAAAAGTTGAATTCAAGTGTAGTGTATGGTGAATCCAAAAGAGATAGGGTCAAGAATAAACATGGTTTGAAATTTTAACTGTATATTTATTTATTGTTTTAATATGTTCTAAGCCGCCCAGAGTCCCCCACTGGGGGGAGATGGGTGGGGACACGTTAAACAAACAAACAAACAAACAAATACAAAAGTGAGTGAGGTGCAAGAAATAATGGTTTGGTTATATAAAAGGAATGATCATGGACCAAACTGCAAAGCAAGTATACTAAGGAAGAATGAATGGATTAAGAGGAAGGGGAAAACTGAGAAAGCTGTGATTGGATGAACAATGTATGAATCATTGTATGGATCTGGTGGAAGATGGCTTGCAAGACAGAAAGGTAAGGAGAGGTATTGTGAATGGTGTTGATGTAAACTAGGTTGTAATTTCCTTTTTTTTGCTTTCTACATCTTATTGTTTTCTGCATGTTGTATAATGTTCCTTAACCCAAGATGGAATTGCAGGA